ACAAGAGGGAAAAATTTCAATAAATATTTCAAAGCAAAAAATCATACTRCATCATCTTTGACAACACTCCAGTAAGATTAGAAATTAATAGCAAGTAGCTGCCAAAAATACAACAATAAGGAAATTTTAAAAACACTTTCTAAAACAAAAAAAAATAGACATCAGACTTTAGGAATTAATGGCAATGATAATGCAAACCAAAACACTAATATTGCCCAAAGTCTATCAGGAGAAAGTTCATACCTGGAATGCTTTTATTAATAAAGAAGAAATAGTAAAAACAAGATTTAACCCAAGAATGGAAGGTAGAGAGCAGTAAAATAAACATAAGTAAATAAGAACAGATTTAATGAAGATTAGTAGAAATTAATGCATTAGAAAATCGTAAAAATGATAAATAAATCTTACAATCAGGATTTTTAAAAATATTTTTATTAGTTGTTGATGGGCCTTTATTTATTTACTTATTTATATGTGGTGCTGAGAGTCGAACCCAGTGTCTTGCATGCTAGGCAAGTGCTCTACCAATGAGCCACAAACCCCAGCCCTAGAGCCAGGATTTTTAAAAAGCCATAAAACGGACAAACATCTACAAAACTAAGCAGAGAGAGAAATTATAAACACATAATGAGAAAAAGTTAATAAAATTCAGATTTTTAAAAATTGAATAGCTATATAACAATGAATCTAAAAATGTCAAAATTTATATATCAAAGTATCAAACTGATTTAAGAGATAGAATACATCAAGTAAAACTATTTCACTAGTACTAGTAAAATAAAATATCAATTAAATAAATTAAATATCAAGAACCAGTTAGTTTATATTGTTGGATTCACGTAAATGGAAGAAAGACAGGATGGATAGATAACTGTATAAATGCAGATATGTATGAATGCATTGAGGTTGATACACAGAATTGTGGATTGAGAAATGGGGGAAACTTTAGAAGGGGCAGGGGACAAGAAGGGAGTTTTAAGATTGGATAAGGCTTATCCTTGACTACTAGCCAAAATGACCACACCCACCTAGGCTGGCAGATATCCCTTCTGAAATTTCCAGGTTTGGTCTTCCCTGAAGCTGACAACCCTGCATAAAGGACTAGAGGACCAGTGTTCACAGGCTAATCCAGACAGATCAATTAAAGCAGCAGAACCAGAGAGCCTGACAGCACCCAAATTCTTGGAGGGACCTGCCCTTCCCTCCCCAGTTCCCTGTTCCCTCCCCAGGAGCTCGCAGGTGCAGTCTCTCCAGGGGGCAGAGAGAGCCATGAATAGTAAGGGTTTTAGCTCAAGCACATAGAGGCGTTTAGCTGCCCAAACCTAATCCCTCAATAATCGGATTATGTAAATTCCTACTTCAACCTCTTCCCCTGCAGGACCTAGCCCCTAAATTCTCCCCACACTGGGAGATGGGGCTGGGAATGGCCCATCACTCTGAAGGGTCACTGCTAGTGGAATTATGCACCAAAACTGTTTCTAAAAGTATAAAGCCAACAATAACATTTAAGAAGCTTTCACGAAAAAAAGTCAACCCTGGTTCCAGTGTGCCGATGCAATAGTGCTCCTTTTTCGGTAGCACTGTCCTTTCTCTCAGTCCTTGTCCACTAGCCCAGATTTTATTTTACAGCTCATTGTTTCATTTAGCATCATACATCATTTCCAATCTTTCTGCCCACTTGCCACAATTCTAGTTCATAACTGTAAAATATGCCATTGAGAAAATATATCATCTCATAGTTTTTGCCTAAAATGAAGTGTAGGGCTGGGGTTTTGGCTCAGTGGCAGAGTGCTTGCCTAGCATGTGTGGGGCACTAGGTTTGATTCTCAGCATTGCATATAAATAATATAAAGGTCCATCAACATCTAAAAAAGTGAAATAAAATGAAGTGTAATATTGGTTCTTGGTTTAAAATCTAACATGTACTCCAGCAGAATTGTGATTGAATAGGATAGGATAGAAAAAGCATAGGCACTGTGACACTGTGATCCCCCTTCCACCATACACAAAGAAAACAGAAGGGCAGAAAAAAAAGAGCAAGTCAGGGATGTTTACTGCAAATRTTAGATTATGTTTCTACACACAAATTGACCAGTTTATTCTCTTCAGTCCACTCTAATCCATTCTCTATACTGCCACCAGAATGAGTCTTTTAACCTGTAGCTATATGTATTATTCCCATGTTCACAGCACACAGTTGTGTTCCTGTCCTCCACTCCTACATTTGTAATTTCCCAACCAGACTTGACCAACCTTCACTGAGGAACCCAAGCACCTAGGCCTTGCCTTGGGTGTGCTTTAAATGGCCCTGCTCTGGACTCTTCAAGTGGCCATGCCCCACCTTCTAGACCACAYTCTGGATATCTGGGACCCATGAATTTCTGTTCAAGTGGCCCTGAGCCCAATTTCAGGACCTGCATAAGGTCCATGATGGGTGGAAGTCTACTTTTTATGCACAATGCCCTTCACAGAACAGAACTCAGCTTGGGGTAGAGGAGAAAAAATGGATAGGAATGGGCCTGTAGTCTGCATTTGTAACTTTGTCCTGAATCTCACAAATGTCAGAACCAGTCTTGCTTCAGGCCTAGTTTAAATGCCATTCCTCTCACAAGTACCTCTGATCCTCCCTCTAATCAGAATCCTTTGCTCTCTCTTTCTAACTCTAATTCCACATTCTCTGGAACCCATAACTGTCTGTCTTGTATTTGGTCTATTTGTCATGCCGTCTTTCTCCCCAAGATCATGAACTTTTTGAAGGCAGATATACAGCTTTCTTCTCCTTCCTGTTCCAACCCAGAACTTAGCAATTCAAACAATAGCTTTTTGACTTGTAATAAAACCATACTGTTTTGTTTGGGTAGGGTGGGGTGTCACAAACATTCCCAAAGTCTCAGTGGCTTACAACAACATTTATTTCACACTCATATTATATAAAGGCTATGATTGGCTTTGAGTATGTTCATATGGCACCTGGGTTGGCTGGACCCAATCACTCCTGCTAAAGCTTCTGCTCCAACATGGCATATATCAAATCTGTTCTAKTCCATTGGCTGATGAAAGTCACTTGGCCAAGCCTGGCAATGGGGCAGGGAAGTATATACCTTCCACCTACAGGGAGCCACTGTTAGTCACATGGCAGTGGATGGAACTGTATAATCTTGTAGGGAGCCAATGTATAGTTATAACAATAATACAATCAACTACAATTTAAAAAATTGTGCTATGTGATAGACCTTGTGCTTATCATCTTACCTGGTTGTTTTTTTTTTAAAGAGAGAGAGAGAGACAGAGAGAGAGAGAGAGAGAGAGAATTTTAATATTTATTTTTTAGTTTTCAGAGGACACAACATCTTTGTTTGTATGTAGTGCTGAAGATCGAACCCGGGCCGCACGCATGCCAGGCAAGCACGCTACCACTTGAGCCACATCCCCAGCCCCTGGTTGTTGTTTTGTTTTGTTTTGTTTTCATTTGATCTCCATAGTCCTATCATTGTACACATTTTACAGATGAGCAAACTGAGGCAGGGAGAGGTTATAAATTTGCCTAGGATCACACATATGAATAGACAAGGCATTTTAAGCCAGGTAATGCAATTCCAGAGTWCTTTGCTCTTACACACCAAGCTGTATTGCATTTCTACATTTATTGTACCAAATCCCATACTGGGTCCTTCAGAGAAAGTAATGCCTAGAAATTTTATACTTGTTGATTTAGCAAGCAACTAATACTTGATGTTCATCAGTGGGGTAGACAGGGTGCAGAAAAGACAGAGAGAAGACAAATAAGTAAATATTACTGAGTAAGGTTGAGCAAGAAGAATACAGCAGGCAGAATGATGCAGTCTGTGTGTGGGTACGATTTTAGATACTGTGGTTAGAAACTCTTCACTGAGAAGGTAAGATCTGAGTGAAGACCTAAAGAATGTCTCCTTGAGGGCAGGGATTTATCTGATTTTGTTTGGAGTTTTGTCCCCAGCATCTAGACTGGGGCCTGACTCATTGTAGGCTCTGAAGAATAACTTTTTGGATAAATAAGAGGAGGTAAAGGAATCATGTGGATAACTTCCAGAAAGAGTGTTTCAGGCAGGGCTGTCCAAGGGCAGCATGAAGGCCCTAGGACAAGAGGGTGTCTGGTGTGTTCTTGACACAAGGAAGAAGCCAGAATGCTGGAACTGAATGAACCCCAGGGAGAGAAGATAGCTCAGAAGAGGATAAAGGGCATCTTGGGGGCCACTTAAAGGTTTTGTCTAACTGGGAATGAAATGGAAAGCCATCCAAGTGTTTTGAGCAAACAAGTGACTGGTACCTGAGGGGATTTCATAAGTGATGCAGGAGAGCCTATGAAGGAGGCAAGTGCAGAAACAGGACGACAGCTAGGAGACCCTTCCATCCCTGAAATAACCAAATCCTGTGTTCTGCAAGGTGGWAACTGGGACAAATTATTCCAGGAATCTGTCCAGTGCAATGATTGTTAAACTTTGGGGTACTTAGTAAAATGCAAGTTGCAGACTCCACCTACCCAAATCCTGATTTAGAGGGCCTGGGTTATGGGCTAAAATCTGTTTTTCCCCCACATAACCCTAAAACAGGTGGTTCCTGGGAGTCCACACTCCCTGGATCTTGAAGTAACAACGGATAAGAACTTTACCAGAATGTTTGTCCTTGTTTGGAAGGGAGCTTAGTAAGCAGCACCCCCTGACCGCTCCCTAACACGCTTTAAGTAAAGCAGAGAGAACTGGTCGGGAGAACTGGTCCCAAGAATCCAGGGCTCCAGAAGTGGGGAGGAACCGGCGGGAGACCCTAGCGGGAAGGGGCCCGGGCGCCCCGCGAGACAAAGGCGGTGTCCTATAAAGGCGGCAGCAGAGGCCGGCGACCAGGCGAGGGCGCACACGACTGGCAACAGCAACAGCGAAGGCGAAGGTGCCGGCTCCCGATTCTTGCCAAGAAGGTGCGTCKACTCCTGGAGGACGTGGGCGCCGCCCGGCTCAGGTTTGTGGACCCGCAGGTCCCTCGCTTGGTCATCGGAGCCCCATTTGCCCGGGAGGGCAGAGACGTGGGGGCGACTTGGTAACCGACACCAAGGTGACTACTAGGAAGACCTGCGGACTTTTCGGGGGTATAGGGACTGGCACGGCATCCGGAGAATCAGTTTGGTCCCCCAACGGGTGTTGATATAGCTGCTTCGGCTTCCTACGAGGTGTGGGGGACATGCCCCCAGTCCCCAGGTGCGTCTCCCAAGATATTTAGATAGCTCATGAGGCTCGGTGATCCACCCTGGATGTGAAACTTCAACCACGAGATTCTTTCCTGAACTCCTGAAATACTCATTAGGAAGGGCAGTGATTTGCGGAGAAACAAAAGGTAATTTTAAAAGAAAAGAAAAGCCAGGAAATGAAGCGTCCAAGGGCAGCAGGATGGGCGGAAAGAGCAGGGTAGGCTACTTTAGGTCTATCAGAGCTGCAACGCACAGGTGTAGAGTGCACCTTTGAACTGGCGGCTCCCCCAGTGCATAGCCTTGGCTAAGCGTGTCTGCTTTAGGGCTCTTCCCAATGAGCAGTATTCATGATATGTGTACTGATTCAGTATTTCATGTGAAGTTTTTTAATTAAGTAAGGTATGAATCAAATATGGTATGAATAGTGATTTTTAAAAATGTGTGTGTATGTGTAGTGTGCATGAAATATGTACATTAAACTGGCTGTGGCTAGGGAGTGARACCTATTAGCTAGGTAAGCAGGTAGGGAGCCTTTTATGTTTTACTTCATGCACTTGTGTACTTGGACTTTTTGCTTAAATATGCATGCATTACTTCTACAAAAGGCAGAACTGTGCCTAGTGTTGGAGTTGAGGCACCTCTCTTTCACCTAACAAACCATCCTTCATCTCTTTCTTCCTGGCCAGTGTTTTCACTTACTTTCAAGAGAAAGAGAAAGATGAAAAAAGAAACAAATACACCCAACAAATGTAGTAAAAGAAATCGAAAAGTCATATGAAAAGCTTGGAACAGGACCTCATACAAATGTGAGCTGCTGACCCTTCCTGCATCCTTTCTAGTTGACCTGGGCTTTTTGTCCAGAAACCTGGCACCAAGGAGCAGCAGCTCCTGTTGATGGCATTTGTCACCTTCTCTGGAGGTGTAATTGTCACTCTTTTCTCCAGTAATGTGTTCCCTTGAGTGGTGATGGTATAGTTTGTACACATCCATTTCCATAGTGTTTGTCATAACATTCCTCCAGTCCACACATTCTTAACTGGGGTCCACAACCCCTACCCACCCAGAGAGATACAGATAAAAGAATTCAGGGTTCTGTGAATTTGGATGGGGAAAAAGTATATCTTTATTTCCATTAACCTTTATATATAGCATTTTCTTTATTTATGGATATGGGTAATAGAGTACAATAGTATTAGCATGGTTTTACTTTTATTTATTTGTTAATTTATTTATTGRGATACCAGGGATTGAACTCAGGGACACTTGGCCACTGAGCCACATCCCTAGCCCTATTTTGTATTTTATTTAGAGACAGGTTCTCACTGATTTGCTTAGTAAGCCTTGCTTTTGCTGAGGCTGGCTTTGAACCCGTGATCCTCTTGCCTCAGCCTCCTGAGCCGCTGGGATTATAGGCATGTCCCACTATTAACATGGTTTTATTTATTTTTTTGCTGTGTGGGGGATTGAACCTAGGGCCTTGTGCATGCAAGACAAGCACTCACCAACTGAACTATATCCCCAGCTCCCCAGCATGTTTTTAAATAAAGAAAGYAAAAAACTTTTGGTTCCCTTCTCAAAAATAACAATTTTAAATTCATAAGTTAAAAATACATAGACAAAAATAACCAATTATACTTAGAAGTTATTAAAATATTATAATTTAAAATGCAATAGAGTAATACAGTATTATATTGAGAYAATGTAATACAAAGAATTTGTCACCAATAGAATCATAGATACTTGCATCTCACATCACAAATGTTGCAGATCTTTAGACAAATATTTATAAACATATTTCTTAGAAATTATGGTTGTAAGTCTAGTTATTTAAGTGTTAAAATGAAGCACATATATTATCATATTCATTTTAATTGTGTTTTCATAACTACTAAGCATAACTATTTTCTATGTACATTTAAAATCACTATTCTGAGAAGGGAGCTGAAGACTTTATATTTTATATGTTTAAAATAACTGTTCTGAGAGAATTGTGTCCTTAAGCTTCCCCAGACTGCCAGAAAGGTCCATGGAACAAAACAAGGTTGTGAACCTTAGTGGGAGTCCTCAGTGGTGACACAATGTATGAATACCCAGGCTTGGATTTCGGGGCCCTGCCATTGATTTCCTGTGTGACCTAAATACTCACCCTTGTTTCAGCATCTGTGAAATGTTCTCTGATTCTGTGGCATCTGGGCTGTGTGTGTGTGTGTGTGTGTGTGTGTGTGTGTGTGTGTGTATTTTAGCTCTTACATTACTCTGAAATCAAGATTAGCAGCAATCAGTCCTTGCAACTGGAAAAACACTAAATGCAATTTTCCTTTGATTTAAAAAGTACTTCAGTCATTTTCCAGTGACCTCTACTTTGAGCTTTTCCAGCTTGTTAAATCACTGATTTCTATTTCCCCTGTGGAGAAGGAGAGTAATAYACTTGAGGATAAATCAACAAGTAATTATCAAGCACCCCTAGGATGGCAGGCTGCATTTTAGAAGCCTGTCTTCTCTTCTTTCTATTTCTTCTGTCTGCTTCTAGTACAATAGGATCTCACACACTTA